ACTATCACTCACCCACACCAGATGGAAAACTCTACAGACTGTCGGTTCACACCCCATCACAAGCCAGCAAAACATCCACGAAACAAAGAAAGGTCTATCACAGCCAAAAAATACACTCCAGACACGCCGCTGGCACTAGAGGCACATATATTTTTTGGGAAATATTATGGCTAGTAGGATTCCTTGTGATTTATGTTTTGTTTTCTTCTTTTGTTTTCTTTATAGTGCCCTGCCAGCGAGGGGGGGCCGCTTTCAACAGACTGCTCCAACACACTGTTGCTTTTGTGAATGTATCTGCCCACTTTCTGGGAATGTATGTCCAAACTAAGTTTCGGATCCCCCCCCCCCTTCTCCCCCCTCCCTTTCTTTCCTGAATCTCACTGCGCCAGTCTTACCCAAGCACTCAAACTGCTATTGCGTCCAAGGCATTGTTTTTATTTTTTTTTCCCTTGTTATTTCTTTTTTCGGATGCAACTGCCGTTATGAAATCAGTTCTCTTGTGAGTACCAGAAAATAAAATACAATGGGACCCAGGCTTGGCAAAACTCGGCATGCAGTGAAATCCAGGCTCGGAGGTAGTGGGGGTTTAAATCCATCCCTCGCTCTCTACTGTATCTGTTTTTAACTTTTTTTGTAAATCAACCCACCTATTACCACCCTTGTCATTCTATCTCTTGGCTCCCCACTCCTTTTGGTACTCTCAGCTTTTCAATTAATTTGGCTCTAGAGGCGTGGGTCAGATTTCAGGTTTCCCTAATTCAGCTGTCCTCACATTGCCTGTCTCTTTCTCCCATTCTCCTCTCATTTCTTTGCTCTCTCTCTCTCTCTCTCTCTCTCTCTCTCTCTCTCTCTCTGTAATTTGTTCCTCTCTTGTTATGCTCTCTTTTTGGTTGGTCAAAAGATTTCTCTCTCTCTCTCTCTCTCTCTCTCTCTCTCTCCCTTCGCTCCCTTTCTCTCCTCCAATCCATAGTCTGGGCTCTGTCTTCGGTCTCTCGCTCTCCAGTCTCGTGCTCGTCAACCCTTCTAGATTTCGACTTTGCTCTTCAATAGCTCTTGATTTTCCAATCCAAAGTCTGTTCTCTCTTCAGTCTCTCGCTCTCTAGCCTCTGGCTATCCAGTTTGTCGCTATTCCATCCCTCTCGATCTCCACGTTGCTCATTAACATCTCATCATTATCCAATCCAAAGCCTGGACTCTCTCTTCACTTCCGTCCTCCAATCCAAATGTGGTACACCCCTCCAATCTCTTTGATCTCTTTGGTTGCACGGATTCAAAGGGTTCCAGGTTGGAACGTTTCTTTTTCTTTTTTTGGTGTCTTTTTTTTTGTTTTAATTTTGCTTAACACTTGTGTCTTTTCTGCTTGGCTACTTCAATTCAAAGGGCTTGAGCTTGAGAAGTAGTAAGTCTTTTGTTGTTTTCTTTTCCACTTTTTTCCTTTTTTAAAGTTGTTTTTGGTTTTGGTTTTGGTGGTGCGGGGTGGAGCAGGACTTGCATTCTGTGTTTTGCAATCAGACTCGCCTTCGTCTTCGTTCAGCATGCATGCAAACAGATTGAAATCCACACTGGCGCCAGGCGCCCACACAAAGCTCAGAGATATTACAGCCGAGAACACAGTTCAGCTACAAACTCTCTTCAAACTGGCTATGGCGCCTGAGCGCCTACACTTCACTTCCCCGATCTGTATTCACCACGACTGTTCGCACACACTCAACTCTAGATCTCCCTGGATATCCCACACACATCCACTCTGTACCACACACACAAACACCCTCACTATTATCTATCGCTAGCTATGGCAGCTATGGCCGCCGACTACCACTCCCTACAAGCAGCAATGGCTGCTCTATCTTCCTTGCAGCCCACTTCGACTACGGGCATCTGCAGACCACCTCGCACAAGACGCCTGGGTAGCGCTTCCGCATGGCTCACGCAGAAAATGAATGAATGGCTGGACGCTGCCTCTTGATTTATACTTCTGTTCGTCGCTGGTCTGCCCCTTTTCCACCGGCCCATGGTGCACACAGTCCCACATGGTACTTGCTGAGTGGACAAAGTGAGACTGGGACTGGGTGCCGCTGACTAAGCAAAGTTGGACTACCCACTTGCCCACTTGCCTCTGGTTTAACGTGAGCAACACTCGAAAGGCCACTTCTGGACCTTCCGGAAGTCTGTGGACTTGGCCTTTCGGAGCTGTAGCAGCTAACGACCTTGACCTTTCCGGACTGTAGCAGCTACGACCTTGACCTTTCAGAGTTGCAACAGCTATGACCTCTATGCAGCTATGACCCCTACTCGACAGACCTACGGTTCAAGACCCACCTACACAGACCTATGACAGACAACAGTCAGCTATCAAAACACAGGTCACGGGTTCAAAACACGCAAGGGTCGACTTGATACTGTACACGGGTGAGTTAAGGTCTAGGGATCGAGTCCTGGGATCTGCATCTGTTACTGCAAAGGTGAAAACCGTTTCAGTTTGGTGAATTTGGGCTTTGCCATGCCTGACAAAAAAAGCCAAAACATCTGCGGTTTCTCTGCGTAAAAAAAAAAACAAACGAGTCGAACGGCTCGCCTCTGTCTCTGACCCTCTTAAGAAAAAAAAAACCTCAATCTTGCCCCCCCTTAAAGAAGGGCACTACGGTTTTTCTGACCCCCCCTTAAACCACCAGTACACCCGGGCCTGGCAGCCTTCCACTGCACGCCAAGCTGTTACAAGCTGCCAGCGGCGCACTTCTTTTCTTTTTTGGCTGGTGCCCCCAGCCATTGCGGTCGGGTCGCCCCAAGCCTCAGAAATTTTCGTAGGTGATGAAAGATTTCTCCACAAGGATGGGGCCGTGTACTGGCAGTTTAAAGCCTGCCTAAGAAGCAAATGAAAGCGACTCCCCTTTATCCTGCTTCCCTTAAATGCAAATGAAACGGCTCCCCCCTGTCCTGCCCCCCTTGGAAGCAAATCAAACAGCCCCCGTTTTTCCTGGGTCTCCCCTGCCCCCCCCCCCTGCTTTGATGCAAGCTGCTCTGATGTTTCTCCTGATTCCGTTTTTTTTGGTTTTCTGTTTCTTCTCCTCTTGGCTAAAGCGTTTCTTTGCTGGTCAGCCTTTTCTCTCTCTCTGCCGGCTTTATCCCTTTTCTCTCTGAAGTGTCTGAAGGGTCATTGAGAGAGATGGTAACCTCTCTCTTCCAACTCACCACTAACAAAAACGAGGCTTCTTTGTCTGTTAATGCAACTCTCTCTCTCTCTCTCTCTCTCTCTCTCTCTCTCTCTCTCTCTCTCTCTGTCTCTGTCTCTGTCTCTGTCTCTGTCTCTGTCTTTCCCGCTCTGTCTTCCCTGCTCATCCCTCCCTCCCTCTCTCTCCTCGCCCCCTTGTCTCTGTCTCCCCCCCTTGGCTCCTTTTTTCTGTCCAGCTGCTGTCCGATCGTCTCGTCTTCATTTTCAATGTTTTAATTTTCATTTTTTCTGGGTCGTTGTTTGCCAGAATCTTGTTTTTGATGTGGAGACAAATTCAGTTCTTCGTGCGGAGATGGCAAAGAAGAATTTGTATGTCAAGCGAGGTACCTTGCTTCCTCTCCCAATTCCCCTGCCCCAAACTCATTTTGATGTGTCGATTTATGTTAGCAGATTCACTTCCGAAAGGCAGCTGTCGGCTTTGGGATTTCAGCCTGGAGGGATTTTCTTTTCTCTGTTTGGAGAGCTGTTTGATACTGCCAGCACGATTTTCATATGTCAATTTATGTTAGCAGATTCGCTCCTGAAATACTTTGAAGCTCTCAAGCATTGGGATCTACAGGATGGATCTCAAGCTAAGGGTGCCAATTGACTGCCTCATAATGCTCACTCGTTATAGCTTTTTCTCCACATTATCTTAACCATGGGTTAGCAGTGAACAGAGAGGGTGAACTAGCTGCTAGATGTCGATCTGGAAAACTGCACCAGGGCATTTAATAAATAATTTGTGAAATTAATGAGCGAATTGTGGAGGAGATGCTTCTCACGGGCTTGGCACTGCCTTAGGGGTGTATTCCTTTCATGGCTGCGTGTGAGAAGAAATCTGTATCTTTGTGGTTTGAGAGATGGTTAACTGGGGGCCGGATATTCGCCGTTTTGCCGGCAATTTTGGTGTAAAATTCAGCGAAATTTTCAGAGACAAACGATATGGGCCCATACTGCAAACATAAGAAAAACAAACAGGCCAAAAAAAAGGAACAAAAAAACAAAGAAAACACTACAAAACCCTCGCACAAAAACACTTCCCAAGGTAAAACGAAGGACAGGCATAGAACCAAAAACTCAGAGAGCAGAAGCAAATAGCCAACACTGTGATAATGAGGAAGGGTGTGTGTGTGTGTGTGTGTGTGTGTGTGTGTGTGTGTGTGTGTGTGCGTGTTTGCTTGTGTGTGTGTGTGTGGGCGTCAGAGAGAGAGAGAGAGAGANGAGAGAGAGAGAGAGAGAGAGAGAGAGAGAGAGAGAGAGAGAGAGAGAGAGAGAGAGAGAGAGAGAATGTCTCAGTGGCACGGGCATTCTGTTTATTGGTATTCCCAGGTGGCGCTCAATCTGTGTCTTGACTGTTTCGGTTCTCTCGATGGCGATGCATTCAGATATGTTTGCCTGCATTACCTGCTTTGGTATGATTGGCTGATGCACGCCAACCTGTTTACTAGGTGTTGCCGATGGGACTGCAGCTTATGACGCAAGCAAAAGGCTACGAACAGGAGGAGATTTCACCGCCCCGCCGTTTCCGCCTCCGCCCTCTTTCGTCGCTGCGGCTCCTGCCTGGGGCCCTCCTAGGTATACTGAACCTGCCTTACTCCCCCTTCTCTGCGCCCACCACTCTCTGTTGCTCCCCACCTCCTTGGTCTGGCTTTATGGTCTTCACTCACTCTCTCTTCTGTTTTGTCCACCTCGCTTCTTCCTTCCCTCCTTTTTTCCTCCCGGTGCCCTCCCAGCGCCCTGATATTACGGTTTGATACTCCCATGAAAGACCCCAACGCCGTTTGTGTTCCCTAACAATATGAATGTGTCATCATGTCTTTTCACGGAAAAATCAATCATAAAATAAATGTCATGGTGTATTTCTGATCATTGTCTCATTCTGATCTTTGTTATTTAATGTGAAAATAAATCAATCAATATAATAAATATATGAAAACTGGAATAAACCGTGCTCTTCTAGTGCAATCGCTGAGTTTGTACAGCTCCCCATCCATTCCAGATGATCACTGCCCCTTCCCTCTGCCCTTCTCTCCGTATGCCACTGCTACAGAATCAAGCTCACAAGGGTAGACTAAGCTGGTCTTGTAAGGGCCAGTCGCACTGGCGCTATGTTCATGGTATGAAAAACTTGGCTGTTATTACGGCTAGGTTCATGGTTTCCAAGCATGAACATAGCACGTCGTCACCTGAATACAATGCACAGTCATTATCACCGTATCCAAGTGTTATGTACGGGTGATGACGGTAGTGGGGCATGCGCTTTACTGTGGGTTGCTCTTCCATTATCACCATGCTTCAAGTTTCATCTTACTTGTTATGTATAATCTTTTCAAGGAGTTGATTGATCTCATTCTCCCTCCACAAACTGTGTTGCTGAGGCCTTCAAGTTCCTATCTCTCTCTTCCCCGCCCCCCTCAGTGGCTCTTCTGAAAGGCAGACATCACTGGAGGTGGAAGAAGTTTCTCTCTCTCCCCCACCCCTTCTCTTTGTCTCTGTCTCTCTCTTCGTGGTTGCCCTTCTGATGGGCAGAGAGCATTGGAGGTGAAAGAACTCCCCCCCCTCCCGGCCTTGGTTGGTCTTCTGAAGAGCAGACAGCCTTGGCCGTGGAAGAAGTTTCTTTCTCTCCCCCCATTCTCTCTCTCTCTCTCTCTCTCTCTCTCTCTCTCTCTCTCTCTCTCTCTCTCTCTCTCTCTCTCTCTCTCTCTCTCTCTCTCTCTCTCTCTCTCTCGGGTGCTCTTCGTAAAGGGATCTGCTGGTTGATGCTAAACCCCAAATCCCGAACGGGATCTGTGAATGAGGAGATGATGGCATGGGGTCATATTGACGGTTGATCTTTTTGTTAGGAAAAGAAGCATTGATAGTTTTTGGAAAGCAACGCAATCCTAACACAATCCACAAAGTGCAGAAAGGAATACATATTGATGGGCAAATGTGTGAAACGCTCCCTGCTCAAGTATGTATCTGATTGCTATCCCGACCAGATTCGTCCCGAGGAGTCCCAGTGAGAGTATGCCTGTAGTCAGGGCACAGTCAATGATTACTTCCTCTCTCTTGTGTTTTTGCTTTCAATGTTTTGAGAAGCCTTCCCCTGAACACAATGCACCCTCATCACGACAGCATTGGACCGGAAAATAGCTTTTATTATTTCCATATACCCTGCTGATCAGGGTGCATTGTGTTTGGGAAAGAGGGTTGTCATTCGTCGGAGGCGGTGGTACTCGCTATGGATGTGAATTTCTGAATGCACGTGTAATTTCTGGATGTGCGTACAGTGCACACGCAATTTCTGAATGCGTGTGCAATTCTTCACATGTGAATTTCGGAATGTGCTCGCAGTTCTTTGGGCGTGAATTTCTGAATGGGCGTGCAATTCTTTGCAGGACTCGAATGTGTGTGAATTTTTGAAATGTGTGTGCATTTCTTTGCATCAGACTGGCAAAATATCTTGTCTTGGATAATATGTAAATCGGATTGCTGCCTGGTTGCCCCTCTGATTTTTGGAGGACTCGAACTCGTGATCTGTCCATCAACAGCTGCCTGTGTGTACCGGTCAGTCACAATCCGCTTGCGATTCTAGACTTACACAGTCATATATCATTCCACAAACTGGCAAAGGAAACGGTTTCGCTGAGCTTCGGGTTGTCTGCTATTTTCTTTGTTTGTTTTTCGTGAAGTGCGCTTTTTTAGTTGATATGTGTGTGAAAATATATGTTTTTCCAGAATTTTCCCCTGAATTCTTCCCCACCGTGTTGTGGTTGTTTTTGCTGCTTGCATCTGTTTGTGGTGGTGGGATCTTCTTCGCGCCATTGGACGTTATCAGCTACATTGCTCCTGCGCCCACATACGATCCGTATGCATATGCGCATCCTGTTGGTGCCATAGTCCCTGCTGCCCCTGCGAGATATGCCCCTGTTCAGGTAAGTTGCTCAGGCTTGCACGTGTCACACAAAAAAGAGGCATTTGATGCTAAGTGATTCCCAGTGGTAATGTGCTAAGTGCTAAGTGCTACTTAGTGCCAAGTGCTAAGTGATACTAAGTGGTAAGGTACCCACTGGTATGAATCAGGGTACCGACAGCTGAGTGGGACTAAATGGTAAGGTGCCAATAAGTGATAATAAAGGTACTGAGCAGGTTACCAAGTGCCAATAAGTGATACTAAGTTGCAAGGTACCCAGTAGTATGAAGCAGGGTACCAAGTGCTAAGTGATACTAAGAGGTAAGGTACTGAGCAGGGAACCAAGAGCTAAGTGGTACTAAGTGGTAAGGTACTAAGTATCGAGTGCTAAGTGATACCAAGTGGTAAGGTACTGAGCAGGGTCCCAAGTGCTAGTAAGTGATACTAAGTTGCAGGGTACCCAGATAGTATGCAGCGGGGTACTGAGTATTGAGTGCTAAGTGATGCTAGTGGTCATGTACTAGATAATGAGTGTGAAGTGATATTGATTGGTAAGGTACTAAATGCTGAGCGGGATACCTATTGTCAAGTGATATACGGGGTAAGGTACTAAGTGCTGGGTGCTAGTGTTAATACAAAGGGGTAAGGGACTAAAAGCTGAGCATGATTAAGCTGGATATCAAGTGCTAAGCGACAGTAACCTGTGAGGTACTAAGTGCTGAGTGCTTAGTGATACTAAGTTGCAAGGTACTCCAGTAGTATGAAGCAGGGGTATCAAGTGCTAAGTGATACTTGGTGATACTAAGTGGTAAGGTCATTAGTGCTGAGCATTGTTAACCAGGGTGCTGAGTGCAAATTGATACTAAGTGCTAAGGTTCTAAGTGCTGGGTGCTAAGTAATACAAAGGGGTAAGGTGGTTTTGTGCTCAGTGAGATGCGTTTCGGTCCTACTGGCGGTCGAGTGTTTGTGCTGGTATTCAGTAGTGGTAAGGGCATACTCACTCTCGAGCAAAGCGCTGAGGTACTAGGTGCTAAGTGCCGAGTCCTAAGTTATACTAAGAAGTGACGTACGAAGTGCTCAGCAAGAAGCATAGCATTGTACTAAGTGCCCAGTGCTAAATGAGACAAAGCAGTGAGGTACTAAGTGCTCAGAATTGCACTGTTGCAGCTATTAGTTAGTGGCAAGGGCATACTCGCACTCGAGCATATAGTGCTAAGCTACAAGTACTCAGTGCTATGCAAAGCGGTACTGAGCTCTAAGGTAAGGTGCTATAATTGGCCAGTCATACCAAGTTACCAACTTTTCAGTGTCACTGCCAATGGTCAGTGGTAAGTCTTAGCGCAAACTCACACACAAGCTATGCAGGGTCTTGTTTGAATCTGCTCGCAATTTCGGCCAGATTCCTCCATTTTTGTGAATTTGTAGTTGCCAGTGTCGCTGCCAGTTGTTAGTTGTAAGTCTTAGTGCATACTCACACTTGGACTTTCCTGGATGTACCTGGTCACAATTCTCGCCAGATCTACATCTACATCTACATCTACATCTACGATACTATAAGAACCGCTAACGTCATATCACACGGCCCAGGTTGTGGGCTGGTCTCCACCCGCGGACGGCCCATATCGCAGGCCGATGAGTAACTTTTCTCATCGGCCTGCGATCTGGGCCGTCCGCAGGTGGTGACCGGCCCGCAATCTGGGCTGTGCGATACCGGTTCTGCCCGCCTTAACGGCCCTTCCGCTTTTTCTTTCTTTTCGTTTTTCGGTTGTTTTTTGGCGTTTTTTGTGGAAGGGTTTTTGGTGGCGGCCGGTACTCGACGCGCCTACGGCCACTCCACGCCTACTCCCGCACCTACGATCCTGCTTTCGCCTACTGGCTACGCCCGGGGCCTACTTCCACCCACTTGACGTGCTTAGTCCCGCCTGCCTTCTCTCTGTCTGTCTGTCTGTCTGTCTGTCTGTCTGTCTGTCTGTCTGTCTGTCTGTCTATCTGTCTGTCTGTCTCTCTCTCTCTCTCTTTCTCTCTCTCTCTCTCTCCCCCCCCCTCTCTCTCTCTCTTCCCCCCGCGGGGGCCTTCCGCGTGGTCCGTGCTTTGGTGCTTTATGGTACGTGCTTGGTGCTTCCGTGAAGCATTGTGGATTCTGTGCTTCATGCTTTGTGCTTCGTCCATTGTGGATTCTGTGCTTCATGCTTCGTGCTTCGTCCTTGCCAGTTCGTGGATTCGGTGTTTGATGCATCGTGGGTTCGTGGTGGATTCGGTGCTGTGAGTTGGTGCTTTCGTGAATCGGTGCTGCGTGGATCGGTGGTTTGCGCATGGATCGTGAGTTCCTGCTAAGTGCTCGGACATGAGCTTCAATGTGGATTCCTACTAGAGAGTGTTTCTACTTCACCTCAAACCCACACCTCACTGCGGGCAAGCGGGTCAGGCTATTGAGAGAGAGAGAGAGAGA